CAAGTCAAATAAGGGCAATTCTCCATCAGTCAGAAAAGCCTACGAACAGCAGACTATCCTGGGAGGTGGTAAGTCCTCTACAAAGAGGAGCATAATAAAGGTCAGATGAAGAGAATAAGACCCCACCTGCAAAGATGCCATACACAGGGGTAGGGGAAGAGAGCTGACCTTTCCACCTTGGTTGGGCTTGTCTTCCCTTTCTTGGGCAGGGAGGCCACATGCCCAGTTTTACACAGGACAGGCCTAGGGTACACCTGTTGTTCTGGTAAAATTCTCAGTAAACTCTCTCTTACTCTCAAAAGTTTCCTGATTTGAACCTAGATTACATGTTCACCCTACTCAGAGGAGGCATCTGTGACTTTGAAGGAAGAGGCCTCAAGCCACACTGGTCACAGAGCACAAATGTCCATGGCTCTCATCTCACTCAGAAACAGGCTGTACAGTGGCAAATTCACACATTATACAAGGGTAGGCTCAGATGTACCCAAGTCACTGAGAAAGCCAATGGCAGAATGGTATTTAAAAAAAAAAATTTAACTAAAGGACAAGCAGAGGACTCTCCTGTGTAACACAGGCCTACAGTCTACTTAGAAGGGGTCTCAGTTCTTCAGTTTTAATCCATCTCTGAAGCAGATCCAGGCAAGGACTTTATCCAACCTTTGCATGCAGATTAAAGCCAATGCTTGTGTGGGAAAGCAACCCTGGAGTTGCGGACTTCGTCTGAATCATCCCTCTGGAGGATTCACTCGGCAAACCCAGAAAAGTTCAAATGTTTTGTGGAACCAGTCGGGGGTATAAATGAACAAAGACAACGGGCCAGATGCCACTCCTCCATTGTACGCCTCTCCCAGCTTCCTTTCCTCTGCACGTCAAAGTGAGATCTTCTGTACTCATTAACCAACAACTCCCCAATGTGCCCTTCACCGGCCCCTAGCAACCAGCATTCTACCTCTGTCCCTATGATTCTGACTACTCTGAGTATCTCACATAAGTGGAATCTCACAGTATTTGTCTTTTTGTGTCTAGCTTATCTCACTCGGCACAGTTTACCCACGGTGTAGCATGTGACACAACGGCCTTCCTTTTTAAGCTCTTTTACATCTATATATCACATTTTGTTTACCCACTCAATCACTGATGGACACTTGGGTTGGTTCTACCTTTTGACAATTGTAAATAATGCTGCTATAAATATGCACATGGGTGTACAAATATCTCTTCGACATCCTGCTTTCAGCTCTGTTGGTTATATCCAAAAGTGGAATTGTTGGATCATATGGTAATTCTATTTTTAACTTTTTGTGGAACTACCATACCGTTTACCATAGCAATTGCAGCATTTCACGTTTTCACTGAGTGCAAAGGTTTCAATTTCTCCACATCCTCATCGACATTTGCTATTTTCTATTTTAAAAAATAATAGCCATCCCAATGGGTATGAAGTGGTATCTCATTGTGGTTTTGATTTGCATTTAAATTTTGCACTAACAACAGGTCTAGCACAACCAAAGAATGACTTTTTAAGTAAAAAACGCTAGCGCTCTCAAAAAGCTACATTGCATGGAAGCATATTTTCCCTAACATCCTTGTGGTAAGAACTTCATACAGCCCATTCCATTCTCATTCTGTAAACCAAGAGGTCCAGAACAGACATGCAAACATCAGTGGCATGTACATTTCTCATCCCAAGCACGTTTTAACAATCCCTGGGAAAACTGAAGTTAGAAAGAGAGCTTAAAAAATCTGTTAGTGACCAAAGGGTATTTATCTATAAAGAATGCTATTGTGAACATAATTCTAAGTGTGGGCAAACTACTAAATCAAACCTCGTATTGTCCCAACACCTAGAACCGGTCACGGAAGCAACAAGTTGCCTTCCGCCCAAACCTGCCTGCTGAGCCCAGTGTCCACCATCAGCAAGTGCAATCCTTCTGCACCACTGCTCCCTGTTAATTCATCAAACAAAATACATCTACCTGGGCTTTGCTTCAAAATAATCCAAAGTGTGGGTTGGGCGAATACAAATCAAATAAGCTAGATGGTGGGAACATGGAGTTCATTTAATTAACCTACTTTTATATTTTCTCCATTAAAAAAAAAAAAAAAAAGAAAACTTATCTGAAGAGGTAAGGGCTTGGGCATTCCACTTTACACATTGTCAGCAACCTGAGGCAGACACTAGGCAGCTGAGAGTGCTCTTTCACAAGGAAAACACTGAGGCTTATCCAATCCAGGTCACTCAGCTCAGGGAGGCCCTGGGGGTCCAGAGCCAGCCTGGTACCCTCCTGCCACACTGTGAGTTTCCCAGAGGGCTGTGCACCCCAGTCTCAGGTCCTACCCCACGTTGGCATCTCCAGTGCAGAGGAAGACTGCACATCACTACCAGGAACCTAGTGGGGAGGGACCAGCAGCTTTTCCCTAAGCAAAGTGCTTCACCTTCCACTCTCATTTCCCAACCTCTCTCATGCTTGGTCTTCCTGACTGTTCCTGTTTGTTCCTTCCTGTTCTGCCACAATGCACACTAACTGAAAAACAATTAACTTTCAACACACACATTAGGAAATCTGCAAAATCCCCAAAACGCTGCAGCAACTTCAACCACCAAGCAGACCTGCTACCAAGCTGGATTCATACACTCCACTACTGGAATATAGTGCTGCAAATGTGTTACTGGGCAAGTTAGTAGAGCTACCTGATGTCCAAAACTCTCTCCTGAGACCCTCTGAAGAAACAAAGGTATCAAGGCCCTCAGCCATAGAAGCAGTGGCAGAGTGTTGCTCTAGCTGCAGAAATCAAGATGAGAGTCGGAGATCACGGCACAAAGCCAAGCAGCACACCCAGAAAGGGGAGCGTCTGGGTGTCCATGTGCCCAGTGTCAGACTGCCTGCCTAGCTCAGTGACCCTCCACCACACACTTGGCTGGGTGTGCGGGATGGTGGAGGGAACAACAGGTAAGGCCAGAGGGCTCACCAGACATGGACCAATGCTGCTCTGAGAAGCCATACATCATGAGGATAGAGCACAGACCCTCACATTAAGAGAGACCCAGAGGCACCACATCAAATACCTGGCAATGCCCTATTTCAGGGACAAAGATGTGGTTGTTAGTGCAAAGTTATCTGAGCACAGGAAAAGGCGTGGGCTAAAAGACCAAGCCATTGAATCCCACCTTATTTCTCTAGGACAGAAAATCCCCAAACACACTCAGATAAATCACCAGGAGATGAGGCTGTAAAATCAAGCTTGCGAGGCAGGGAAGGCTTAGTAAAGTCTGCCTTGTTTTAAGAGGTCCAGTCCCACTAGAAAATGCCAAATCTGCAGTAGAAGCAAAATGTGACGTCATGGTCACTCATTCTGTCCTTCTTTCTCCGCCTAGCCCCACGCAGATACTCATAAACTATGTTCCATGGTTTTAAAAGCCTCCCTGCGTGATCATGTCCCCAGGCCCTCCTGCACAGAATCAATGTCTGCCTCTCCCTGGGGCAATCCCACTGGCAATAAACATGCTATATCTCCCTTAACCCACTGACTATCTCCAGCCAGTGTCCAGTTTTTCTTCTCTTCTTTAAGGTAAGCATTCTTGGAAGAACTGTCAAGAGTCACCCTCTTCACCTCCTTACTTCCCATTGGCTCTTCAGCCAACTCCAGCTGGGTTTCCATCCACCCACCATGATCCCCTACCCAGAGCACACAGTGGTCTCCTCAAGGTCATCAATAACCTCCACTTTGTCTAAGCCATTACCAATGTCTTGTCCTCATCCTTCTTCCCCTCCCTGCACCATGGCTGACTATGCCTTTCCACTTGAAAGGCTTCTGTAACACACAGTCGCCTGGTCTTCCTTTTACCTCAGGCCACTCACTCTCAGTCAACTTGGGAGTGGGCTTTCTTCCTTGACCCAATCTCTAGCATCCTAGGGCTCAATATTCACAGCTCTCCTCTTCTCAGTCAACAGATCCATCTTCCATGCTCTCATCTGGTCTAGGCTTCCTCTGATGGTGGCTGGCCAAGACTTCCATCTCCAGGACAGTCAATGACAAAGGAAATGGTATCTCCCTGAGGCTGGCAATGAGATAACTTAAACGTACCCTTCTACCCTAAATCCTATCTCAGAACCACCTGGTACCATGATCCATCCCCTCACTCTGCAGTCACTCCAAAATCAGATCATACCGCCTAACTTACAAGCCTTCTAATAATGATTTAAAGCATTAGCACTATTATTAAAACATTCCAACTATTTATTGAGACATGTATGACTCTTTGTGACCTGGCTCCTGCATACCTCTGTTCCCACCTGTGTCCCTTCTCCCACTTACTCAGTTCCAGCGACATGGCCTTCTGTTTGTCCTTTGCACACACCGAGCTCATTCCTGCCTTCGGCCCTTTGCAGCTGCCATGCTCTCTGTCTGGAGCGTTCTTCCCCAGACCCCCTGCTTGGCCACCTCTTCATTAGTACTCAGTTTTCAGCCCACAAGTCACCTCCACAGAATGCCTTTCCCTGGGCACCCTAGCCAAGGAGCTTCTCCCTCACTGCTCTGTTGCTCAGAAGGCTGACATGGCTCTTGGTTACACATAAGCACTACAACGGTAGGATTGTATTGCCCTTGTCTGGTATCACCTCCCAGAACCTAAAACAGGACCTGGCCCACAGTCAGATACACACAAAGTACCTTGCTGCTGATATCTCACTGGGGCACTCCCAGGCTCGGAACAGGCAGCGGCAGGTGGTGGAAACAGACAGGCATCTGGGCCAGGGCCCCAGGCTTCCTGAACCCCCAAGGCTGTGTTGGCCTTACTGTGGCTTTCAATCACCTCGGCCTTTGGCCTTCCCCCATCCCCATAGTCGCCACTAGTTCTGTGAGGGCCGGGCTCACTGACCCTGCCCACCACCTTATCCCAGAGCCTTACATAGTATCTGGCAAATCAAGAGTGTGTGAAAAACCGTAATTTACTGAATGAAGGACTAAACAAGGGAATGTGGCCGCTCCCATCCACTTACCCAGAAGATGATGTTGTAGCTGAAAAGGAGGTACTTGTACCAGCAGCTGACCTTGGCGTTAGAGTATCTATAATAGTGCATCTTCTGAGAAGCAGAATCTGCGGAGAAATGTGTGACTGGTGAGATGGCAGGCTCAGCGTTAAATTCTCTCTCCCAAACCTGCTCATATGCAGATGTCAGAAAGCTCCCAATCATTTCTGTCATGTCCCTTTACCAGTCCAAGCAGAGGCCTGCTACCAAGGCCAGGTATAGGTAATGCAAAACTCAGGTTAAATCGGCTCTCCAAAGAAACAAATGAAAGGATAAGGGAGATTCGTGAAGGAAGGAAGAAAGATGCTTTTTAAGTGTCTTTTAAGTACCAGGAATTCTGCTTGGAGCATTCCCAAACATTGATCTCATCACCTCTCAATTGGGAATTGATTTTTTTCCACTTCACGGTTGAGAAAACAGTTCAAAAGGTCACATGATGTGCCCAAGTACAAGAGAGCAATGACAGCCCAGGACTGGAACCAAGGACCGGGGACTCCAAAGCCCATGTTCTTTCCACCCACCAGAGCCAACAGAAGAAACAGGGACCTGACCACAAAGAGTCACGTTTGGGAGATGAACATGCAGGCAGGTCTGGACATGATCCAGGTGTGCCCAGTGAAGAAACATCAAGATGAGGTCCCCACACTCATTCATGCAACATTTTCTGAGAACCTCTGAAGCTCAGCCTTCCAAGAGGTGAGGGAGGCCATAGCAGCCAGCAGCCATCCCCTGCTCCCTCCCTCACCTGCCATCCGCCTTCCCACCTCAACCCACCATGGCCACAGCTTTGTCTTCCAGGGCTGTAATGAAGCTTGTACTACACCACCTAGGGGGGAACACCCTGTGAACTGCAGAGTGAAGGGTGGGGCTGCAGTTTTTTCTCTGTGTCTAACCTCCAAAGCAACCTGAGAGGTCCTACCACAGGAGGGTGCTATTTCTGAGGGACTTTCTGAGGGCCTGGCCTACCTTTACTGCTTTCCTTTTTGAACCCCAGTGGCAATCCAGGAGGACCCCTAAGTCCTCCATGGTCCCTTGCCGCCAGTGCAGTGGCTGAACAGTGGGGAAGAAGGGAGTCCCTCAAGTGGACAGGTAGGGACAGGATCAGAGGTCTTTGGGGCAGAGGTCCCATGCCAGCCCCCTGCTCTCCTCCCACTTCCCAGGTGAGGAAAGTAACACAGCCCAAGGCAAAAGCAGACAAGGCCACCCTGGAGGTGAGGAGGTGACCCACCCACATCCGCCAGTGAGAAACTAGCTTCCAGGAGTGGCTACTTGCAAAACCCCTTCCTGTGAGGCTGCCACGGCAGGCTGGTTGCTGGTTTGCAATGTTCTGAGAATGAAATGCCAAGAAGAGACATGAAACCACACTCCTCTGGAAACAGATCCTGTGACCGCTCTACCTCTCCCACGGTGTGGAATTGACAGGCACAGCCTGGACACCACCACTCACCTACCAGCTCCTCCTTCGCAGGAGGGCTGGGAGAGCCTGGCCTGTCTGACCTCAGAAACCAGCAGGGGAGAACGACAGGCAGACAGCTACCCAGCTGCCCCATCCCCACCTCCCCACTTACCACCACCCCACCATGAGAAGAACACATCCATAAAACTGGCCTCTAAGAATGAGTGTGAACACAACTACCTATTGCCCAAGGACTCTACAGGACACAAGAACAAACATGAGGCCTGAACACTGGGCCACACAGAGTGGCTGCAGAAAGAGAAGGAGCTCTCAGGTAGAGACACAGGTGCCTTCCTTCAGCAACATGACCTCAGCCCATGCAAGTCCCTACTCTCTCGGGGTCTCAGCATCCTCATCTAAAGTGGTGCTCTTAGTGATTTGCCCCTAACATCACTGGCATGAAGAGCCTGGTTGGTAGCATCAGAACCACTTATTCTAAATACAGATCCCAGCTCCCAACATAAGGTTCTGATAAGGAGGTCCATGTTGGAGCCCTGAATCTGCATTTCTGACAAGTTCCCCTGGTGATACTGACATACCGCCAGACCCATGCCCAGCAGATCAGGTATCGGCTTGGGCACCAAGGGCCTGCAGCACTCCCCTTGGGGATCCTACAAAGGTAGATGGGCCTGTGAGCTGTGGTGCAGCACACAAACTTGGAAAGAGCAACTCCTTGTAGGCAACTAACTTAATGGTAGCTTCAGCTAACATTTACCAGCTTATGTTTCACAGATTAGGGTCCCAAAGCACGGGCTGGTTTGTTAATATTTTGTAGAGGTAGAGTCTTACCATGCCTAAGAGTCTCACTATGTTGCCCAAGGTAGTCTCAAACTCCTGGCCTCAAGCAATCTTCCTGCCAGCATGGCCTCCCAAATTGTTCACATTACCTGCATGAGCCACCACACCCAAACAATGGTTTGGCTTTTTTAATTGTTTTTTTTCTCTCTCTCTCTCTCTCTCTCTCTCTCTCTCTCTCTCTCTTTAGGGGAGGGCTGGGCTACCCAACCATAAATCCATGTCTCGATTAATGCATATAGGATGAAAAACATATTCTAACCTAAAACTCAAGTACATTTATCACCGAGAATTGTCAGTTCAGCTGGAAATGCCCTATGAGGCAGAAACATGTTCTAAGTGGTAGAAACTCTGTTCCTTTTTATGGAAAAGACAATCTGTCCCCTTTCTTCCTCCTGGTTCCCAGAGGAGCCTGGAAAGTAGAAGGCTGTACCCTCCAGGGAGCTGGGCCTCAGGGACTGGGGAGGGCTGGTCAGGCATGGAATCGAATGCCTTGGGATCCTTTCACCTCCTTTAACCCAACCCTGTAAAGAACTCTCCAGAAGCAGTAAGAAAAGCCAAACATCCCCCTTCCTCCTTGATGAAACCTCCACAAAGAAACCAGCTCATTAGCAAACATGTCTGTCTGCTTTCCACAGTGTTGGTAGCTCACCTCTGCTCCCCTGCTTGGGGCCTTTGCAAAATGACTCTCCTGTGGTGACACAGGGACTCTCAATGTGAAGGTCCCTGGTTTCCTGCAGCTCACACCCATTAAGTGTGCAGAACATGGGAAGGCTACAGGGAATACTTCATAGGGATGCAGGTGGCAGGGAGGCCAGCGCTCTGAAGCAAGGATTCCCCATGGGGCGCCTGGCTTCCCTCGCCATCTGCTGCTTCACCTTCTTCCACCCAAGACGCATGACCAACTAGGAAACAATTCTGCCTTCAGATGCTGGTGTCCACCCCCATGACCATCAGAGACTCTCACAGCCATGACCTAAACCCCAAGCCCTCACTCCCTCCCTGGTAACATCAACATACAAAACTACACTAGCCAGGTCTAGGAAGAAACCCCCACTCATCCAAGAAGAGGTATGCTCCACTTAGATGACATATCCTGATGCACCTGCCACTTACAACCCAGAGCACATGCACTGCCAGTCTTACATCACATTTGGCCATTTTTGTACAACTCAGGATTACCCCATGAGGTCTAGGGGTGGGACTGTCCCAGTGACACTTTTCCCCCATCCTCAACCCACAGAAGAGGAAACTATTGCAAGAAACTGTTGCAGGAAACATTTCAGTTTTCCTTTGCCCCCACTTCCCCACCCTTGCCCACCCACCTAACCTCAGGACAGGGAGGGAAGGCACCTCTCACTCTGTCCCTCTCTGCTCTACTGGCCAGTGGGTGGAGAAGCAGGTCCTGACCCTCCATGGGGCTGGCAGATCCTGGTCTCCACAGAGTTTAAGCTGAGGGAGGTAAATGGGAGACTCATTTGGACTCCAGCCTAAGCCACATCCTCCCACACAGTGTACAGTGGCCTTCTATCTGTGGAGGGGTAATGATGGAGCTGCCCAACAGGTGTGGCTTGGAGGCTGCAGAACCCCAAAGGAGGGAAAAAGGACTGAGCGTTCCTGAGCCACTGACAGAGCTATTATCACATTTACACAAAAATGACAGAAGGCTGAGAAAGGCAGTAGTGCTGAAACTAGAACCCAGATCTGACCCAAATTGATTCCCAAAGTGATTATGGTCCCTAGCATCTCACCTCATTGGTTAAACCACATCATACCAGAGGAAGGCAGAAGTTAGCCCTCTATGAGCGGATCCATCCACAATGAACATCCAACATCATTTATCTTAAACACACGCCCGCAAGACGACTAAGAATATTCCTAAGAGTAGGGATGGGTAAACTCTTCGCAAATATTAAGTACCATTCCAGCAGAGAATAATCTCCAAAAGCTACATTGTATACAAAGAAAAAAAATTGAGACCTCAAACTGTCTCAACTCTAAGAACATGATACAAAATAAAGCATCAGTGTGGCAGGTAAAAGGCACGTTTATCAAAATATCAACTTCTCAAAATGGGGCAAAGGGAGAACTGTTTAACAGTGGTGAGACAACTGGTTAGCAACCTGAGGGGAGTTAAATAATAAGCAAATAACAATTAGACATTTAAAGGGCATACGCACATGCATGCACACACCCACACCCAGAGAACAGGGTATTTCAAGTTCATTTTACCCTCTTTCAACTTTTGAGGCAACAGGAAAAAAAACAATTCAAAGCACAAGACTACCAAGCCTGAACAGATAACGAATCTAAAAAATCCCCATGATTAAAAGTAACATTAAAATAAAAAAGGAAACATAAATGTTATCTCCAGCTGCAAAAATTACGACAGAGTACATATCTGCAACCTATAGAGATCCGTACTTCAAAGAGACTCCCATTGCAGACAAATGAACAAAAGATATGAATATTATACACAAATGGAAGAATAACATAACAAATGGAAAAATAAACCTGGGCAACATGGCCAAACACCATCTCTACAAAAAATACCAAAATTAGCCAGGCGTGGGAGACTGAGGTGGGAGGACTATTCGAGCCTGGGAGGTAGAGGCTGCCAAGAACAGTGATCATGCCACTGCACTCCAGTCTGGGTGACAGAGCAAGACCTGGTATTTAAAAAAAAAAAAAAAAGAAAGAAAGAAAAAGAAAAGAAAAGAAAGAAAAATATTCAATGTCACTGGAAATAAAACTTAAAGACAATCCAGATATACTATTTTATACTTTCTCTCTTTTTTTTGAGACAAGAGTCCTGCT